GATTGTTTTGTGTTAAATCTAACCTTCTTATATTGTTCGGTAAAGTGTTGCCAATTAGAAACTGGTGTCATAACCATAAAATAATTTTGAGGGAACGCTCTCTTGAAAGTGGCACAGGCTGAATTTAAACTCGGCGCAGGTGAACGTGATCTCATCAACAATTGTGCTAGTAATACACTTTTACCGATACGTCGATTCCTTGAGGGAGACATGAAAACGATTCAGGTGATTTTATTCGTTCGGTGATCAATCACTTTTATTTTATTTAAAGCAGTCATTGAAGTATTTCAGTTGCATTCCTAATAGGCACTTTAAGCATTCATTTAGGTGAAAACTTTCCCTCGAGAAATGCATGATCGATTATCCCAACTGAAAGTATTCCACGAAAAAGCGACTTTGATGAGTATCCACTGAAAGTAATAGTAGAGTGCATTTGTTCAAAAGACGTTTGTTGTTGGGTTAAGCTGTTTGCGATTGAGCGAGGAGGGGATAAAGCGAAATGTTACCAGTTGAATGAAGAGAATTAATTGAAAGTAGTTTTAGCGTGAACGTAAAGTGCTTTCTACGAAACGATTGGACCTGGACGCTGCAAAAAGCCGTTTGAGGAAGGCGAAATCACTTGAGGCGCAGAGTAATGTGAGTTTTGTGATTCGACCGAATATTTTTGATGATTTTCGATTGAAAACGACTGCGATTTAGTATCGATTTGTGTGATCATTTCATCGTTGTCATACTTCAAGAGCGAATATTCGATCGAATACAACCTCAGAGCCTTTATCAGATTCGTCTTTGAAATGTGAATGTACTAGCTGTCAATCTTATATCACCCTCATTTCTTCGTTCTACCATCACCTCTCATTTTCCTTGCCAACTTTTTATTTTTTCATATCTCCTGGGAAACAATTTTTGACTTGCTTCTTTTCTCTAAATGTTTTTTAACAGGCATCAAATGCAACGTTCACGTTAGAACAGGTAAATTATTGTCTGTATATATTGTTTTGTGTGCATGTTAGTTGATTATTCGTAAATTTCGAGTAATCGTGATTGTTTTCATTGATGTCGTGTTGTTCTATTTGTTGTTATTTTATATCGATGAATTGATTTTTGTGGACACGAATGGGTCTTTTCATGTCGTAAAACTGAGTGTGGTTTTGGTTTGAGGCAGAAGCAGATTTGCGTGTAGCACAGGCCGAGTTCGATAAGCAGGCTGAAATAACGAAGTTATTGCTCGAAGGCATTCAAACTGCTCATGTAAGCGTTCTTTCCGATCTCTATTTCAGTGGTTGATCCGAAACATTTTACTTCAGAATGTGTTTTGTACTCACCATCACATGAGTAATTCCTTTCTGTGAGAACCCGCATTTTTCACTCAGGTGTTTATGTTGAATGGATTTGCGAAATTCAAACTTCGCATTGGTGGTGTGTTTGAACGGTAAATTTTCAGGACTGGTTTAGGGATATTTCTCACTTATGCAGTCATCGAACTTTGTTATGAAGTTGTTACAAATACGGATCGTTTATGATTAAGTGATGTGCGTAACCCTTAAGAAATCAGATTTCAGAATAATCAACTGAAGTGTTTACGTGATTTTGTTGAAGCGCAGATGTCTTTTTATGCACAAGCGCATAAACATATGGCCGACCTACAAAGGGAACTGTCTGGGTAAGCTATTCCATAGGCACACTTGTTTCATTGCAGTGCGGTGATTCAATCAGATGCTGTGTCTGTCTCTCATCACTCATCAATAAATCTGACTTTGTAATGGTCAAGATTGAAGTCTTTAAATGTGATGTTATTTCAGTGCTCGTCTTACTGCTGTTTTTGCATATTGATCAAAGTTGTTCGTTGTTGTTGTTTTCGTCAGCAGCTTGTAGCTTGTGTTGTAGTTGATGATGTAGGGTAGGGGTGTCCAACCTTTTCTTTGCCCACAGACCGCATGAAACACTGTAAAATATTTACTCAGAGACGCATCCGTCATTTGTCAGTTCAGTAAGTCTAAGTGATACGTAGATGAGTGTTAACAAAATGGGTTATCATCTAGCCAACAGAGTGTTGAACAGAAATCCTTCACGGGTCATTTGTAATGTGTATGTGGGCAGCATGTTGGGCACTGTTAGATGTTTGGTGATTGTTCAAATGAATGATAGGTGTGAATGTGGTTATTTGTTTTGTTCTAGTTCAATGAGTGGCGATTCTGGGATCACTTTATACAACAGCAATAATGTGAGCAGTGCATCAACGAGCATTCGTAATAGCACAGCAACTGCACCTGCATCATCAGCTAAGTCATCTTCATCGGATCATTGTATTATACGACAGTCAAGTGATGCTAATGATAATGTGCACAAATAATCCATTCTTGATCTTTATTGCGCCTATTTATTTTATTCAGTTTGTTTGTCAACACTGTTGTTGTGTTCCATCGTGTTTATTTCCCTATTTAACATCGGTGATGTTCTGTCAGTCGTAACTTATCTTCTTCTTTCGAGAGTTTTCATTTTGGACAAGTTATGCGATAGGAAAGAGTAATATGAATGGCAACAGTTTTGTAGTAGAATCATATTCTGGTTGCTTTTGGGATAGCAAGTGGCTATAGACGTATGTGTTGATAGGTGGATGCACACCGGTTAGAATTACGTAAATTTTGTTGTTTCAGTGTGTTTACGCACGAATCGTAAGTGTATGATGAGGGTTTCCTTTCATTCACACCCTATCCTCAAAAGCATATCACTCGGAGTGGTGCACTGCGAAAGTCTTCATGCACTCTAAATATGCCGCAATTTGTGCATTGATAGAGCAGATATTCAATTCAACTTATGTTGTCGAATTTGAAAACTTTTTTGATTGGATATGATTAATGTTTAAATTCTTTCTGTTCGTCGTTCTTCAAATGTTAATTCAGTGATGCGACAGTTGATTGACGAGTGGGATGCGTGTAAAAATGTGTTATTTTTGTATGATTGGTTTTATTTCGATAAAGGCCAATGTAGAAGGAAGTGATAATTTATTGACGTTAACTTGGTGATGTGATTGATTTTGCTTCGTTTTAGTTTCATTTCAGACATTCCACGTTTGCGTTTAATTGCAATTTTTTTCCGGTGCCCATCGAAATGAATTTAAAATCGATTGTCCGATCGACTTTTTGTGGAAATTAGATGTCTTAATGGAAATTTTGATTAATTGGCATGTATTGATTGATTCTCAAATGTGATGTTAATGCCGTTGTTCTCTAAGATTTTCATTGATGTTACAAAAAATTGGCAAGAGATATGTTTGTGAATAAACAATCTCATAGAATTTGCAAAATTTTTATTTGATTTTGCACGATTATATCGCTTTTTGATCCATTGATGTTGTTTGTTTGAGTCAGTCGTGATTTTCATGTGGATATAAAGTATCAGTTGTGTCTGTCAGTTTGTTTCTTCTGTATGCCATAATTATTATATTCTGTATTTTGAACTTTTATTATTAAACATAAATTTTATCTTTTGATCGCTGTGGTGACCTTTCTTGTGAGAACTGCGATTAGTGCATGAAAATGCTTCATGTTTATTTTGGTTTCATGCACACGACTGACTATAATTTTGAGACGAATGATACAATAAAGTTCAGTTATCCGATATGATTCGTATAAACTTGAATTTCTGTCGGAATATTGAAGATTTGGTTTAGAAGTGGCAAATGAGGTTGTTTGTTGTGTTCGAGTTTCCCATCAAGTGCTGTGTTATCAAAAATCATTCGATATTTCGTAGCAAAACTGATGTTCCTAGAATCACCTTAAGGTCTTGTAAATCACTTTATCAATAAGTACTTCGTGCAATCAAGGGAAAACTATCAGGCTTTCAATTTATGACAAACTTTTTGTTTCCTATTCGGAGTCATTTACGTCATAAAATTGGATTGGTCACTAATGGCCGTTTGAAGAGAAACCCAATAACAAGGAATTGCACATTAAAGTATTCGTTTCTGAGCTGAAGACCGAATGCATTCATTTTACATCAGCAGCGAATCATAAAGTTGGAGTGTTCGAACGGGATATAATTTGAATGAATGATGTTCTAGCATAGTGTCGTTTCGTGGATCATCGATTAGACTACTGCAAGATGACAGTGATCACTCGAAGCGTCCGTTGACTGCAATCGCTGAGAATAGAACGCAGCATGACACAAACCACAATGATATCAACCAACAAGTCTATGCAGTTGATGACATGGCTACAAAGCAAGCAAGGCTTATTTTCGACTACGATGCGCAAACACCTCAGGAGGTATCTGCCGCCAGGAACGAGGTACTTATACTTGGTGTTGCGTTCGTTCATAAGCACTCTGTTTTTGTTTTGAGGCAGCAACTCATTATCGTAATCCATCTAGTGACCGGTACAACATCAATAATTGCACCAAACAAGTTGATATTCATTCCATCCTCACACTTCTAAACAAGTGAACAGAGAGAAATACAGAAGAGGATGTTTAATCTTTTGAAGTGAACGGATGCAACTGCACATATTGAGATCATATCAATGGGTTGTTGCATAAGTTCGTACGCTTTTATTCCCATTGAATTATTCACAATTTATTCAAAGAATACATAACTCATGGATAAAATTATTTCACTCTCTGAAAGGTTTTCAGTTTCGTATCAGTTTCAGATTGTAATTGTTTATCGACTTCCCGGAATGGATTCTGACTGGGTTATGGCTGAGAAAAGCGGTAAACGAGGACGAATCCCACTGTCTTATTTGGAAATTATTTAGTTTATGGTGTTGCTACGTTCATAATTCTTAATGACATTGATCTCGTACTTTGTGATGCTTGTAGATATTTATCATTCCGTTAAGCTGCATTCAACGTTTTTATTTGCATCTCGAATCTGATTGCTTCTTAATGTACGATATGAACTGCTTAATGTAGCGTTTTATTGGCTAAATTATACTTTTTCTTGTTGAGCATTTTGCGAGAGAATGTTTCGCGTTTTAGAGCACTTTTTTCAAACAACAGAGTATGCACACAATTTATGATTGACAGCACCCGTTCGTAGCGATCAAATAACAAACCAATAATACTCTCTGCTTCGAATGGATTTTTTGAATATTTCATCATTTTCATTCTGTAATAGTGCAGTAAACATTTCATTCGATAGATGGTTTACAAAAACATTATTTATCAAGGCTGAATCACTGACATTATAAACACATGAAATATTTTCGAATGAATCGGGAAAGCATATAGTCGTTCATTGAAATTATTCATATTATTCAGGCACATGTATCGGAATGGTTGAATGAATTCTCGTAATAATTTCTTCTTTCTTCTTGCCAATCCGTTTTTGCTAATGCTTTCATCGCAGAATGTTCCGTTGAAACGTCAGAATAGGTGGCAATCCACTCGTTCATTCAGACTCATTAATTGGTACTTGAATTTAGAGGAGTTCAGAAATTTTTGAGGAAAACATTAATTGGTAACAATGAGTGGAAAGTGTAAAAGGTGCATGATACGCGGATGATGTAAGAAGTGAGTAGAAATAAGAAATGAAAGAACATCGCATGTTAGCCTGCTTAAGCCTCCTCAATGTCGTTCGTAGTATTGGTGGAAGAGATCACGTTTTTGAGGGGACAACTGATAGTCCCTCTGAAAAATATGTGCGTCGTTGACAGTAAGACGATGAATAAATGCATTGAACAGTAGTTAAGAACAATTTAACAGTGCACAGTATGTTAGACATTATTCATGAGCTCAATTCAATTTAATTAGCATGGAATTNTTTGCTAAGTTTGTTCTATGCACGTGAAAAAATTGCATATGTTCAGTAGCAGATTGGACGGGTTCAAAACAAACAAATTCCAGGCAGTTCGCCTGAGAAGCGTCACTGAGAACATCAGCGATTGAAATTCATCATTAAAATACCTCTGCTCTGTACCAAGGTTTCCAATTAGGTCTTGCTCCGTTAGGGCTCATCCACTGCGGTGGTCGTGCTTGTGCAGTCGACAAAAATGTTTGCTGATTAGATTTGGGTTGTGAACGATGGTCAGCGAGAGGCAAATTTCTTGGTTGGTTGTTTGGAAGTGTCGTCGGTCGTTCGCAGGCACACAAGCACTGTCCATTCAGATTGGTTCCTCAAATGTCTGTTCGAAGAATGCGACACTCGTGTGCTCGTGTTATGAATTTTAATGAGGATGTGTCTGAGAGCTCTCTCTGCTGTCAGTCATCAGATGCTAATCGATAGATCTGTTGACGGTGACTCGATTCCATTATTGAACGAATAAGACTCTCCTAGGTTGCGATCTCCGCCATGAGTAACAATTAAATGACTTTTTCACTCCTCTGGCAAAAGCATTTATTGTTTGGCACATAGTAAAGTGGTGAAATGCTAAATCAAACCTTGTACTATTTCGAAGTATGGCCTTGATGGTTTTGGATCGAGCACTATATTTGACGGTATTGAATTCTGTGGCATCTTTATGCCGTCGAACTGCACGCCTTGAAGAAGTACATCGGGTTGTATTTCTGTCGCGGAATCGCATGAAATGAACACGATTAAAGAAGCATTCTGCATTCCATTCTTTTTTTTGTTCCTATTACACTGGAAAAATCTACGATCCATCAATAACACTGTGTCACGAGTTGAAGTCAGTTAGGAGCATTATTAACTTCAGTTCCTAAACAATGTCCAAAATCATTAGTCTCATTCATGCAGTCAGCATTTCGCAGGATCACTTCGGTTACGAATGCCTTAAAATCTGTGAACTCAATTTGAGATGGCTTACTTGGATAGTATTTAGTGAATTGTTTGGATTTGTCGATGTAAATTCGATAATCGTGTATGGATGATAGATTCAAGTTTTTGCTGCACTGTAATATAGATGACTGCATTCTGTTTTCAAACTCTTCTCTCGCTGAACAAAGACATACTCGTAAACGAGAGCTGTCACCAGTGCGACATTGAGTTTGCAGACGAACACTGAAAACAATCACCAATCGCAATCAGATCAGATCACCACTAATAAACAGATCACGCAATAGGCTGGCTCAACGTATGTGATCCATGATACGTTGCAATACTTCGTGCCTCAATTTTCTGGAAAATCTCCATTTATGACTGATATATTTCAGTTGGACAGCTGCACAAGTGATCACAATTCATCAACGATATTATGGTGAACTCATTGTAGTGAATACGGTTTCTGGGCATGATGACTGACAAATTTATGCACCGTAAATTGAAAAAGCAAGTATTTTCGAGGGGAAATAACCTTTGGATGCATGCGCGCATAGCGCGATCTTTTGTGATGATGAGAAATTGGAATTGATCATCATTTTGCAGGAAACGTTGATAACACTGAACTTGAGTATCATCCACAATACATGACGTGTTCAAATTATTACTGAAACTATTTATTCAGTTCAACACGATTCGATAAAATGTGCAAGTAATCTGATAGTGAATGTGAACATTTTCAGCACATCAAATGAATTGTTTGGTGTCCAGTAGCGATGTTATCCGGCTGAATGAAATAACGGCGATGATTTGACGTGTGGAAGAGATCAGTTTATCCATTTTCAGTGAGCAGTCTTAAGTGATCATTTTGACCTTCTCATGACTAGATTATTTAATGATATTCGAAGTTATATTTAAAGTATTGGTTCAGGAAAGTATATTTTCGTATCATCCTGAATAGTAAACATGCTAGGAGTTGAAGCAGTCAAACTCACAATTGCGGGTCTGCTGAATCAATTGTTCGGCTGATGCCATTTCCAAAAATACGTCCAACAGTTTCCTGAAAACTGGAGTTCATTCGCAATTTTTAATGAAATGTTAGATATGCCACTCATGTCAAAGAATATTGGTAAGATTGAGCCTAAAATAATTACGAATTTCAAAAACATACAGTTACACTTCAATCAAATACAAAGCTTCCGTCTTGCATGAATAGTAATCATGAAATGACTGAATCAAACTGACTCGTACGAGGCAAACTGATTTCGGATCAAGCAAAGACGTGGAGACGGCAACTTGAGGTAAGCCCCACAATCGATCGGCGAATTCCATTCCGTACACAATACGAGCATAGACAGCATCCTCTTCAACGTGAACAAGATCGCTATGAATTGTGAACGGAGGAAAAATAAGTTTTCTAAGAAAAGCTCATTATGAAGCAACGAATGGCTTAGAAGAAGGCGATAAAGTTTGTGATGCATAGCATTCGCTTTAAATGATTACCATCAACGACAAATGCAGAAAGATCTGGAAACGATGCTGGTAGATCATCGTCGAGAAAGCAGTCGTCAACCGCGTCACGATAGCGTTCTGCTGTGTCCATGAAATTATCCGAGTGGTGATGTGCTTGCATTCGATGGGCACGTACGGCGTTTAGTGAACTGTGAAAACAGTCGTCGAATGCAATTCGTTCACTTGTACATCTAAATTGCTTATTTCCAAGAAGACGATTTAATAAACATTGAATCTTAGAAAAGCGTTCAAAAATTATTTGCTCATTGATGAATGACTGAATGTATTCGTCGTCAAAGTTGTATCAGACACACTTTGATCAAAGCAGCTATTATTCAAAAGAAAGTGTCGTAAAGCAATTCAGTAACAACTCAAAATATTGTTGATCCACTACTGACGATCGGTAATGAGGTGTTGTAAGTGCAAACGTGTGTAACGATTTGATTGCGTGGATAATTCACTTACGGTGATTGAGGGAAACATTTTCTGAAGGCAATTCTTTTAATCTGCTCCATTTGGTGTTCATACTGTTCAGTGGCTGTTGCGCATATTTGCAACTGATCAGCACAGCTAGTTGCATCAACCTATAAGCATCGAAGGGTCATCTTACCTTAACAGTTAGTTCTAAATTTGAAGTAATTGCTTAATCAGTAATGAGTTCAAACTTCATGTTTAAATCTCGATTTTTAACAGTTCATTCGGCGAGTTTCGTGGAAGTATTGCGTGTCCATAACTTACCAATAACAATGGATCAAAGTCTTTTATCTCCATGAAAACTAATATCTCACTATCTACAATCGCTTTGGGAAGGCATTAAGCTCAATGAACTAATAATAAGTGTATCAAGAAAAAAGTTGGCCGAAAAGCAGCATCCAAACTGCACTTCTAGATTTATTGCATTTTTCTTTACAACAATTTATTGATCTCTTTTATTCATCAGTTTTTTTTTTAAAACAAATTCCGTGCATTAAATTTTCTAGTCTCCAACAAAATGTAATGGATCGATTCAACTGGAAACAATAATAATTAACTCTCCATCTGCTAACAATTTAACTTTTAAAAAACTTTTCCCATCCTCTTCTCATATTTCATCTAAGTAGTTCATCTTGGTCACCATCTAAATTTATCCATCAAATAATACATCGAATAATTCAGATGTATATGATTGGTGTTCTAAGCAATGGATGATTAACATATCATGGTTTACTGCAACAATATATCCTGCTTACCTGTGAAACTGCTGCAAGAAACAAGGCAATAAAATGCAAAACCATTGCTGCAGTGGTCAATTGGTCAGTGCTGTCGAAGTTCATCGTGCACGAAACTGTGATATGATCTGGGTGGATTATTGAAGAGTTAGCTGATTGCGCAGCAGCGAATATGAATGCAATTCACTATATGAAATCATGAGTATTTGCATAGGTATGTATTAAATGAGCACGGATGCATTGAATTGTGTATTTACGGTGATAAGTGTATTATATTTGAGTTGGTCATTTTAAATAGGTTATTTGTTATTGTTGACATTGTTCATGTTGAAAAGTTTTCTCAGATTTTTTTTCTATCCTTCGAAAGTGACGCAAACTTTCAACTGTTCCTCTCTGCCACACACCACAAATCACTCACTTTGAAAATTCGAATTATGAGAAGTTCTATTGACTAGCAGCTGTTGCTGTTTACTGTTGTTTATAATTAAGAGAATTTCGAGAGAAAGCATGAAAATGTTAGCGTATCAATAAATCATTGTGTATTAACGTGCGAAATGCGTACAGTAGAGTGCAAGCCGATATTTGAGTTATTGAGTACATTTTGAATGATTGTTGAAATGAGTCGGGAAATAGGCCAATTGGATGAACGTCCATTAATTTTCAAGTTCCTCATTTAAAGTTGTTCTTTGAATACCCTCTTCAGTTGGTATGTTGACCAAATAAGATCACATAAATCTTATTGCTAGTTGAGATTGTTTACTGAAATGTGCATTGTTAATCAATAACACTCAGAATTTTTGCGCATCCATCTCAAAGTTTTCGTTGCATTTTCAGATAGAATTGCGAATATACNGAAATATCCGCCGCTGTTTTGTGGGTTCGAAAAGAACGAAGCAAATACCGACATTGATATGGCTTAACGACAATGATTTGGCTAATTCAGAGCTGAACGCATTCAGTCGATCATCGCATTTTGAACACCCTATGAAACCTTTTGCGTCGGATAATGTCTGTCGCAACAAACACAAATGAAAATGCATCGTTCTCGTCACACTCGGTTTCTGATGCGAAAATACACCAATCCACATATCGATCGGCCCACTCCTGTTTATTTTCTCATAAAATTTTTTAAAATTTACTGTGCAAATTGAAATGGAATTAAATCTCGACATAATTCTCGCCAGTTATCACTTTGTCCACCTGAAATTCATCAAACACACTCACAAGAAATTTAAAATCATATCCACTTTTGTTCTAGTTTGAAATTATATTCTCCCCGGTTTCTATATTACTGTACATGAACTGATGAGTATCCATGCAGCAGCTGTCTTCTCCTTTCAGTCGTTCATCAACAAAATATCCATCCATTTTACGTCTTTTCCGAATGTGAATAAACTCCAAATGATATCATTTTTTAAATAATCAATAGCTTAATACCAAAAATCAAAATTGCTCACTGCGTCCGTATTTATGTATCACAGTATGAAAGGAACCTTATCGCAGTGAAACATTTTGCTGGTCGTCTCAAAAAGCTTATTCGCTTGGATGTGAGAGACGACTGATTGCGTGTTTGTGATGAAAGCATTTTTATTCGGTTGCGAAATTTTGATGAGTCGAAGAAATTGTTTTTAATTTTTATCACATTCAAAATTGCAACAACAAATTGAATAAATTATACAAAAGAATGTTTGGTTGAACGAACAATGTTCGCAAAAATTATTACATAATTGCAGATGCACATATCAAACTATGCAACGAATTATTTTTAAATTGACGAATTCATATTTAAGCGCTGCTGCGATGGACTTCCTTCCTTCCAATTTAAAGACGAATTTTAAAGCACGATCATTTCATCATCAGTATTACGAAAAGAAAATGTGGAATGCTAACGAAAGAGTCACTAAATGTGTTAGAATTTCGAATTTGACTTTTGCTAATTTTTCACATCGACTCATTTCATTCACCCTTGATTGAGTATTAAAAACTGGAGTCAAGGAAATGCACAGAGAACGTCAACGTAATGTGATTATGACATTCACAACACTTAACAAATATCATTTCAACGTTTAAAAATGACTAGAAATGAATCATTATCACTTTATAATAATCAATCAAATTTTACGTTGGTCCCGACGGCGATCGATCCCTATCTTTCGTATGCCATTTATTTCAATCATCGAAAAATTACCGCGATGACGTTTCCACATAACGATTCACTTTAAAGAGCAAAAACCACGATGTACTATTTGTTGTCGATAAAAGCGACGTATCAAGTCCACAAATACTGAAATAGTGAAGGACGTCGTTGTTGTTCATTTCAATAATTCGCAGAGTGCACTTCGTATGGATGTTGTTGATCAACTGACAACGTTCTACGTATAAATGTTCATTTGCTCTTTGTTGTTTTCACTACGGAAATTGAGTACTATCAGTTTTATGATCACGAAAATGAGAGTCGATAAACGTTTTTTGATGTCTCGTCTTAAAATAATACGTCATTCACATTACTGCAGCAAAGATATCGCCCACTCTCAAGTCCAAAACGCTACATTGAAATATCGCCCACTCTCAAGTCGAGATTGAAAGAGACACGAATGAATAAATTAATTTTCTGAGGTGCAAACAACGTTAGATTATGGTTCTTTCTCAACACTTCAGAGAATTTCACGTTATGGAAGTCGAACAACACTTAATATGAAATACCACCGCATTTCACGGTTTTCGAGCTGATTTATTTCCAAAAAATTCAATTGAATGAACCTTCTGAATGCATTGCTACTGGGATATTATTTACATGCATTTTATGCATTTAAAAAAATCATTTGTGTAAACTTATCGACTGATCGAATAAAAATTGAAAGAGATGAAACAATTGGCTAACGACTACAATCGGTTTATCGATTGTTTTGTTGAGCCCGAAAAAATTCAAATAAATTTCTCCACATTAGCGAATTACTCCCACTTTTAATTATTGCATTTATCATTGAACCTTCAACACTTTCTGGAGTTCGCCTATTCCATTATGTTATTGCTGAAGCTGAATGGATAGAGTGACGGGAAAAAATATCATACAACAATTATTACTATTAAAAAAATCAATAAATAAACTAACTATAATGAACAGTGTATATACGATATATATATATCAACTGCATTGAGTATCATCAAAATGAGTTCACCATTAAGGTTGATGTAGTTTTAACATTCAAATTATCTTCATTGGTTATAATCTTCTGAGATGTTATATATATACATTCTTCACTTCAAAAATATGACTTGTGTTAATGCAACTTCATCATTTTATTCGCTGAAATCAAATAGAATGTGCTTCAAAGAATATTTCAATGAAATTTTATTCAGTGAATATAAACAATCATAAATGAAAAATTCAATTCTAGAAGACGCTCCCTTCATTGCATATGGATACGTTATAATGAAACGATAGATTCGAAAATTTCCCATACGTCAATTTTGAGAATTATTGGTTTTCAGTGAGTCAAGATAAATAATCATCAAGTGTCGGCTGTGATCAGTAAGATGACATGAGAAAGATTCATTGGTGAATGAATCACTAATCGATCGAATGCGATGGAGTATGAGAAATGAATCATATAATAAGACACAAAAACATTACTCGCATGTTGATGTTTTTGTGTGATAGATATTCAGATCAATGAACACTTGATGTTCACTGTTAAAAAGAGACAGGACGTTTGGATAAAGTGAGTAAACAAATAATAAACATTAAATTTGATATTTTCTTTCTAACGATTCATCAAACAGACAACGCTGTTGAATGTTGTTGGTTTGGATGTTATTTGCATTCGTAGGTATTATAGTATGGAATGAAGCGAACGTTCATACATGAAACAAAACATTGATAGAATCAATTTTACAAATAGTTTTGATGAATGTGCAATACGAAACGGCAGTTACACGAGAGCAATTGGTTATTAGCGTTCGTCTTTAGGTTTAACGAGGAGAAATAATCGAGAAACCCGACTAAGACCCACACAAAATTAACTTACTTCTTTTTATTTGGTCATTTTGGATCGATCGAAACAACAACAGCAACGATGCATCATACCAAACTAAACTACATCAAGTATGTTTGTGCCATAAGCCGAATTCTCAGTTCGAAAACACGGAATGCTTATGCTCAATAGCATGGATCAGCGGTTCATTCAGATATTCTAGAGAATTGTAAAAACTCGACCAAAGATGCTGATCAACGAAGGAAATGAAAGATCGAGATTTTATTTCACCGAAATAAAATGAGAAGTGCGCACGTGAATGAGGAATGCTCCACTAACAATAAGCATCCTGTCAGGTGAACATTTCGGGATGTACTCGTCACCACAAAACTGATACTGTGACATTCAAGACGCAAACGGCTAGAACCGTCAGTCAACATCTGGATGGCCACATTCGAAAGTATTCGAGATGAAGAAAGTTTTCACTGTTACTTACTGATCGTGGGAAAAGGAACATTCGGTGGAATGTCAAAGGATTTAAAGATAAATGAAAACAAAAATGATGGATGGCAGTGAACAAATTGTGATGTCGTTGGATGCGATGTTGTGGTTGATATTTTGATGAACATGAAAATGATAACGATATAACCAACGAGTGTTATAAAAGGAAACGAGGTAAGCGTAAACCAATAATATGATTGAAGAGAAAGACGAGCGCTTCAAATGTGATTATAATGAACAGATAAAAAGCATGCAATACAACACACAGAATACATCAATTTCATGTAATTTCACCTATAAAACTTATTCATTATTAGCAGACGACTTCAACAACGAATAGTAATATACATAGATATAAAATCAACTCAGCACAGAGAAATGAACTTCAAACACAGAATATACTCAACAATTTTTTTATTGAATTCAAGAATGATAGAACTTAAGGACAAGTAACTGATTGATGAGGCTAATAATGAAACAATATCGTATATGGCGACCGGATTAACGAAACTTGAACTAAATGAGAGAAAAACTCATTTCATCTTTATCAAAATGAAAAGGATGCCCTCAAGAAGTTGGCAACCAAACACTGAAGATGTAACACTAATGAAAGGTATAATAGCAACAGAACGTCAATGGGTTGAAATATCGATGCTGCAGCAATTCAGTACTAAAATCAGAAGACAACTAAATTTTTCATCTTTACGGATGGATGTTCACCTAAAATTCTGAGTTCAAAAGATTATCGAAATTTACAGCGAAAAACACAACTTATGAATAAGTTTGTGAACTCACTCACAATGAGTATATTCATTTTCCACAAAAATACCGAAAAACAATATAGACATCGTTTTGGTTCATACAGACAACAACCCTCAGAAGAACTAAAAGGAATGAAGTATAAATAACCCCATTTTCTGCTTAACGTACACTACTTTGGATACAATTCTTCAAGAGTTCATATGCATTAAAGTTTCGATGTGAAAGCACTTCGAATGTTCGGGGAAGATTAGAAGTGAACAACAATCGCACGAAACTGGAAAAATGATTGTAATAAACAGAAATTTCAAAGCGGTCTATTAAGGTCGAATTGATTGCCAATGAATATATTTAATGAGTAAAAATGAAAAGAGAGAAATTCGAAATGAAAATAAGTACACGAAAATGAACAAAATATGAAATTAAGACAGCAATTATCATTGAAAGACATAAAAAATGAAAAGTACAAGCGGAATGCCGATTCAATGTCTCGTCATCAAAAACTCAACGCATAAAACTGCTTTGACGCCGTTACATTCAACTTCAGTACTTATCTGTTTTTGAAATCGAGAACTGACAAATCTTCAAAATGAAAGTCAACGATTAGTGAGCAATTTGGTTTTTTGATCGATAAACGTTCATTTTCGATGGGAACTTGCACTAATGTAATAATCCGGCAAACATTTGCGTTGACCAAAAATTCAACCCATAAAACTGTGACAATCCCAAAAATAATGAGATGATTTTCAGTTCAGTTTTGTGTCATAATGCGAATATGAGGCCAGATTCAAAATCGATTAAAATCATTCGCACTAGACCACAAAAAAGATATGAACGAGAATATGCATAAAAATAGAATTCTTCTCGATAAATCTACCTCACTTCATTTAGCGACATTTAAGTGAACGTGATTTATCGCATATATAAAATAACTTCTGCACTCCGTTCGCGAGAAATATCGTATTCCCTTAGGTAATCGATGACGTTTCACAGGAAATAAGATGACGTTTCAGAGCATATGGAAACGGAAGAATCAGAACAAAAAAACAGTTGAAGCAAAACGAAAACAAAACTGATTATATACTTGAAATAAAAAGAAGACGTCTCTTTGTCAAATCATAGTGATGTTACCAAAGTTAAACGAGAATTTAAAACGAAAATTAAGTCTCGACTAATTGCTAACTTGTTGATTTGAGGTAGTAAAAACGAGGAATAATTGAATGCTACATCAAAACTGTTTAGTGATCAAATTCCACTCACTCGCTTAGACACCAAAAAATGAAGATGTTTCCATCAAAACCCATACATACTATGCCTCACGAGAATTCAATCGTTTCGAAAGCTAAAAGCTTTCAAAAAAAATTGTGAAGTATCTGCGAGAGTATTTTCCATAGAATGGAACGTCAAACGAACAAAATGTAACAACGAAAAGAATAATTTTATGATAGGTAGATTGATGATGCGAGGATGAGGCATACGATGATAAGACAGATTAGCAACTGAGTGGCTAATTCGATGATGTGTCTAATGTGAGTGCAAAATTAATTGTAAGGATGTGAACACTAGTGAAACGAACGGACTGTGAACTGATTCTGAACGAAAACAATATAGACGACGAAGAAGGCAAACGTGAAACTGTCATATGTCATTTACGGTCTACATGAGTGAAACAGACCTCCTCTACGCGATCCATACGACGGCTCATTCATTATCGGCTCACCGTAATTCGCTTTATATGCGACATACTCCTGAAAGATTTTTTATTCTCCATTGAACCGTGGCAGAAAACATTTTTATGAGTAATCACAACTCGGATCGAGTACAATGACATCCAACAAAATATTTTAGCACTACGAAATAAAGAAAGAGAATAAGTTTATAACCAAAACGAAACCTCACAAAGACAACAACGAAGTAAGACCGAAGCATGACGCATATCAACAATAAATGCTTAATTAACCTGATAGCTCATGTGGACTTTATCTGATTGAAAACGAACAACATTCACTTTAAGGCGCATTTCTTCGGAGATATGTCCTCTAAATCCACCTTTACGCATCAAATTATCCAATGTTTCAACATGATCCCATCCTAGAACATATCCAATCTATTTCATAATTCGGCACAATTAAGCATGTTGAATGGCATTTGATCTTATTACGTTGCTCGACCGTTCATCAAATAAGAATCAATCAAAACTTGTTCATACGTAACTGACTTCACAATTCTTATTTGTACACTTTAGGTTGAAAGTCTGAAGACGATGTAAATTAAAAGCGATACAGTTTAATGTAGTAAATTTATCCTGCAACATGCTGAATGTCCTTAGACGATAATGCACTTCGATGAGTGGGAGTTGATAACGTAACGTTATAACATATAACAAGGTAACGTTGATTTTCATTCGTTTGCATAATCGACACAACGACATAATAAGCTCGCCTAAGCGTATACTGAATCCGTTTGGTCATGTGAATGGCACCGAACCGTTCAAAGATTCACCTATTTCGTGTGATATGTTCAAGCAAAGCCGTTTTTTTTGCACAAAGAAAAACCGACCACAAACGAGCCTATCAATAACTGAAGTTTTCAAGAGAAGAAAGTACCTTGTTCACTGGCCACTTCAGGTAAATAAACGGCATCGCGATAGTGATGATTATCTTGGAATTCTATCCTAAAAACGAACGAATACACATTCAAACAAATGTTAAGAAAACATGTATGTGATGAGTTCAAGGCAGAATGCCTAGTAATTTTAATCATTTCTAGGTTTCAAACGCGCTATTCATGTTTGATAAAATATCAATCCTTTTTTTTTGAGGTTAAGACACTTCAAAATTGTATTCAAAATCTTACTAACTGACTGCAGCATCATTAGGCGAATAGAAAAAGGATTCCTTTGAACGAAATTGGCAACTAGAGATTTTTTGAACACAACAGTGTATTAGGAAAATAAAATTACAGTGAACTTCGTGTGGAGAAAATTGTTAGATGAAAGATAATATACTGAACTGAATGTAAGATGCACTCTAAGTGTAAATATAAATGTGAATGAGAGCGCTAGTGAGTAAGAAAACAAACCTGATACCATGAATACCAACAACCCAATCACGGTAGTCTTTTGCTTTCTCGAAATTGATTAGAATACTGACTGCGCAATGCAAATGTTCCACTTCGTGTAACGTAATCGGATCAAAACGTGAATCTTTGAAGGCACTGAAAACATTACATTTCCCTCCTTATGTA